AAAGCTATTGTACAACCACACAGGAAGTGGCTGAATTATGGAACTCTGCTATTACAATCATTCAGAAAAGCACAATTACAGAAGATCTGCATCAGTCTGGATTTTATTGTACACCTGACCAATGAGAACTTCCCTGGAACTTTTCCGTGCATTTGGAGGATGTGAGGTCATTAGTCACAGACACAGGAAAATATATGCTATGGATTACTGGTCAAACCAGGCTGGTTGTCTTTAGGGGATTCTAGAGGGGAGAGAACTAGTGAGGGCCATTACTGGGCGGAAGACCCCATGTTAAAGTTCTCAAGTCTGCCGTTAGGGAACAACCCCATGCCCAGCTCATGAGGGTCAAAACTGCATATGGGTATAAGACAGCGACCTCCTGAGATATTTACCTCTTTATAAATAAAAATAAATAAGACAGTGACCTACTGAGATACATAATGTATTCTTTATTGCAGGGAGTAGATCTTTAGATGTTTTATGAGAAAGCAAAAAAGAGTTACTTTTAGTTATGGTTTTATTAATTCACTTGCTATTTTCATGCATGTATTTACTTGAAAAACATTTTAGCTTCTCTTTGGGCCTGCGGCATACTGATATTCATTTATTTTTGTATGAAGCATACCAATCCCTGAAAGGAACATTGGTAGCTTCTAAGACCTCTTATCAGTGGAAATATTCAGTTTAAAGCCCCTTTCACACAAGGTTGCCATTCAGGTTAGCCTGTCAATTTTTCAGATGGATCTGATTGGAAGCTCCATGCTGGTCTATGGGTTGTCAGATGTAAACAGACTTGAGTCCCACCAAGCCAGTCCAGGTCTGGAAAAAAAAATGGAAAAGGACTGCAACCTTTTCTGTTTTTTTTTTCTTTTACAAAGTATCTATTACATTTTTCAAAGAAGCAAAGTTGCAAACAAACATCAAAAGACAATGGTGTCAAAGGCAATAGGAGCCAATGAGGCAGTAAGAGACAATGAGAAAAAAGAAATGGGCTGATAGGCCTACAATTACAAAGGCAGATGGATGATCCAACAATAACCACCAGTGTAACGGTTACATCCAGGACATAGGTGTGTAATAGTACAAAAAAGTGTTCAAGTACATGGGATTTGCATGTCAAGCATGACCAGAGCCACCCAAAACCTGAGGGGAGAGGGTGGTCCAGGTCTCTGTACAAGCCAGCAAAGGAGGGGAACTTACGAAGGGCCAAAATGACTGACAAAAAAAGAGGAATGGAGAGAGAAAAAGAGAGAGGAAAAATGGAGGGAGAGGGGTGGTGGATGAGTGAAATCCCACGAGATACAGCTGTAGAACCATGGTGGAGAGTCGCATTAGTGTCATCACATCAAGAGCAAGGAGCGGCCCAGGTTCAAGTTGTCATTATAGGCCCTCAATTGCTCCCAAACCTTCAGGAATTGAGCATGTGTGTCATTCAGTATAGAGGTGAGCTTCTCGTGGACCATGGTCCTCATGGGGGATTTAACCTCAGTTGGGTGCAGAAATTGCTGGTGCCAGGGCTTGGCTAGTGTCTGGCAGGCTGCCATGAAGACAAAGCTCACCCACTTCCTCTGGTGTTTAGATTAGAGTCATAAAAGGAGCTGTTTTCATTTTTTTTGTTTTTTCAGGAACCTAATTTTGACCAGCAGTGGCAGTCTGATGTAAACAGATGTCAAACAAATGTCTGTTAACATTTGGCCACCCACAGAGCCATCATACAGTTGCAAGAAAAAGTATGTGAACCCCTTGGGATTGCATGGAGTTTTGCATGAATTGGGCATAAAATGTCCTCTGAACGTCATCTAAGTCACAACAATAGAAGAACACAGTCTGCTGAACATAATACTACACAAACATTAGATATTGCCATGGTTTAATTGCATATAACATGTAAACATTCACAGTGCAGGGAGGAAAAAGTATGTGAACCTTTGGACTTAATAACTGGCTGACCCTCCTTTGGCAGCAATAACCTCAACCAAACGTTTCCTGTAGTTGCAGATCAGACCTGCACAATAATCTGGAGTAATTTTGGACCACTCCTCTTCACAAAACACTGTTTCAGTGTAGCAATATTCTTGGGATGTCTGGTGTGAATTGCTCTCTTAAGGTCATGCCACAGCATTTCAATTGGGTTGAGGTCAGGACTCTGACTGGGCCACTCCATAAGGCGTATTATGTGCTGTTGCAGCCATTGTTTTGTTGAATTACTTGTATGCTTTGGGTAATTGTCCTGTTGCATCACCCGTCCTCTGCGGAGCTTCAGTTGGCGGACTGATGGTCGTAGGTTTTCCTGCAAAATGTCTTGATAAACTCTGAAATTAATTTTCCAATCAATTACAACAATTTGTCCAGGCCCTGAGGCAGCAAAGCAACCCCAAACCATGATGCTCCCTCCACCATGTTTTACAGTGGGGATGAGGTTTTGATGTTGGTGTGCTGTGCCTTTTTTTCTCCACACATAGTGTTGTGTTTTCTTCCCAAACAACTCAATCTTGGTTTCATCTGTCCAGAGTATATTTTGCCAGTAGTGCTGTGGAACATCCAGGTGATCTTTTGCAAACTTCAAACGTGCTGCAATATTCTTTTTGGACAGCAATGGCTTCCTCCGTGGTGTTCTCCCATGTACTCCATTCTTGTTTAATGTTTTCCTTATTGTAGATGTGTCAACAAAAATGTTAGCATGTGCCAGAGATTTCTGTAGGTCTTTAGCTGACACTCTGGGATTCTTCTTTACCTCATGCAGCATTCTGCGCTGTGCTCTTGCAGTCATTTTTACAGGACGACCACCCCTAGGGAAAGTAGCAACAGTGCTAAACTTTCTCCATTTGTAGACAGTCAGTCTTACCGTGGACACATGAACATCAAGGCTTTTGGAGATACTTTTGTAACCCTTTCCAGCTTCATGCAAGTCAACAATTCTTGATCGTAGGTCTTCTGAGAGCTCTTTTCTGCGAGGCATGGTTCACATCAGACAGTGCTTCTTGAAACCAGTAAACCCAAAACAGGTGTGTGTTTTATAAGGGCAGGACAGCTGTCAGCAACACATCCAATATCATCACACTGATTGGAGTCAAGGTTGGCTCACTCCTGGCTCCAATTAGCTCTGGGAGAAGTCATTAAGCTAGGGCCTCACATACTTTTTCCTCCCTGCACTGTGAATGTTTACATGTTATGTGCAATTAAACCATGGCAACATTTAATGTTTGTGTAGTATTATGTTCAGCAGACTGTGTTCTTCTATTGTTGTGACTTAGATGACGTTCAGAGCACATTTTATGCCCAATTCATGCAAATCTCCACATAATCCCAAGGGGTTCATATACTTTTTCTTGCAACTGTAGGTCTACCGCAGCCTGCTGTTAAAATACGGACACATACTGAATGGCAGAGAAGTCTCAAAACTGATATCCATCATATTCAGCTCTGATTCAGCAGGATATCTGTTCTGTGCTCAGCACCCTGTGTAGAAGGACCCCTGCTCTTCGTGTTCCATTTTACAAATGCTTCCATTAGAAAGGGAGGTAAGGCTTCATGTACACTGGCAGCTCCTAAACTTTATTTAGGAGTTTTTGGCTTTTTTTTACTAAAGCTCTTAAACTCAACTCCATAAAACCCTATGAGTACATGTACAAATAGGCTTTTAGCAGAGTTTAGGAGCTGCCACGTTTAGGTGTTATATGTATAATGTTCATCTTTACTTACAATGTTCTCTTTGTTCCCATGCAAAGTCCCACAAATATATGTTGATCCTGCCAGTGAAGTCCACCTAACCCAGCTTCAAATATTTGATTTGTGCCTGCTGTACCACATACTTGTATAAAAAAGTATCCTGTTCTCTTTGTATTGCTTCCTTTGTGTGAAATTTCTGGTGTCCCTGCCAGTCCCTCTTCTTTCCTAATAAAACTGACCACACTAGGTATGGGAGCACAGTGTGGTCTTTTTTTTTGCTATTCTGGAACACAGCCTGCTCTCCTCCAATGAACAGACTTATGCTGACATGCCCGCTCTGCACAACCATTTATTTTGAAGACCAGTGAACTCCTGTTTCTCCTCCCCTAGCTCCTTATGCAGCTGAGAACAGAAGGTATGAGATCGCCTAAAAAGAAAGGAAAAAAAATTATTTAAAATTTTTTTTTATATGTTATTTATATTATTTTTTTTTATATGTATACATAAATGTATTGCCTTTCATTTCTACACTCACCAGCCACATTATTAGGCACACTTTGCTAGCACCTTTTGCCTTCAGTACTGCCTTAATTTTTCATGTTATAGATTCAACAAGGTGTTGGAAACATTCCTCAGAGATTTTGGTTCATATTGATATGAGTTACTATTGCCTTTCTATCATCTTGAACCAGCCTGCCCATTCTCCTCTCACCTCTGACATTAGCAAGGCATTTTCCTCCACACAACTTCCGCTCACTGGATATTTTCTCTTTTTCAGATCCATAACCAAGCATAGAGATGGTTGTCCATGAAAATCCCAGTAGATCAGCAGTTTTTTAAATACTCAGACCAGCCTGTCTGGCAACAACAACCATGTCACTTTCAAAGTCACTTAAATCTCCTTTTTTTTTCCCCATTCTGATGCTCGGTTTGAACTTCAGCAAGTCGTCTTCACCATATCTAGATGCCTAAATGCATTGAGTTGCTGTCATGTGATTGGTTGATTAGCAATTTGTGTTACCAAGCAATTGAACAGGTGTACCTAATAAAGTGGCCTCTGAGTGTATTGGGTTACATAGTTAGTCTGGGTGAAAAAAGACAAAAGTCCATCCAGTTCAACCATTAAAAAAAAAACAAACAAAAAAAAATGTATAATCCTACACCCACAGTTGATCCAGAGGAAGGCAAAAAAACCCCAGCAAAGCACGATCCAATTTGCTCCTGCAGGGGAAGAAATTCCTTCCTGATCCCCCGAGAGGCAATCGGATATTCCCTGGATCAACTTTACCTATAAATGTTAGTATCCAGTTCAGGGGCGGACTGACAACTCATGGGGCCCCCGGGCAATAGGGGATCATGGGGCCCCTGTGTCCTTGCCCAAACTCATAAAAGCCTATGAAAAAGGTACCAGGGGCATCTCATGGGGCCCCCTACTAACCCCGGGCCCTCGAGCAGTGCCCAAGTTTCCAAATGGTCAGTCTGCCCCTGATCCAGTTATATTCTGTGTATCTAGGAAAGAATCCAGGCCTTTTTTAAAGCAATCTACTGATCTGGCCAGAACCAACTCTTGAGGGAGTCTATTCCACATTTTCACAGCTCTCACTGTGAAGAAACCTTTCCATGTTTGGAGATTAAATTTCCTTTCCTCCAGACGTAAAGAGTGCCCCCTTGTCCTCTGTCATGACCTCACAGTTAGAGCCCCTAAGACCTCCTTTTCTTTGAGAACAATGCAGCTCCTTTACATATACAGTTTGAGTGTTGTCACCCTAGAAGAGAAAGTATGTTACCAGCAGGATGATCAGGTGAACATATAGGAACAAATGCTTGAAAAAAGAAAACGAATGCAGTCACAACATGTAAGGACTGGCAAGCTCAATATATTTTACTTCTTGAGTTTAGTAGATACACTTTAATTCATCCACTTGCCATAGCAGCGGTTCACCATTAGAGGGAGTCTAATGACAGCTCACCTTCATTGTTCATTTCCTTGTTGCCTTTGAAAGTTTTGTGATAAATTGGATGGAGAGTTTACACATATTTTATGAATGTCATTTTTTCATGCTCACTTCGCATCTGCTGACACAAAAAATGGCAAAGTCAGCTTTACTGTAAACTTCAAACACCAAGATATGAAAAACTGGACAAAGCTGTTCTGTTCATCTTCAGCCAGATATTTCGAGATTCTTATAATTAACGATCACACAGAATTTTCAACTAGTTGCAACTGTCAAAAGGCTGCCAAATGTTATTCAACTAATCTAAGGTACGGAATGATTGATATGCAATATTAAACACTGGCCCATGTTCAGATTTTTTTTACCCATCACAATAAGAGCAGCAATAATTACGGAAAATACCCGTAAATACTAAAAGTTAAAGTGTAACTTTGTGTGAAAATATAAAACTTGGTGGGAAGGCAGGCAGGAATTTTAATCCAGAAGAGACATCCTTTGTCTCTTCTACATTAAAACTACTTACCTACCTGTCCACCCTTGTACAGTGAGCAGCGCACGTGCAGCTCCCTGTGCCAATTTGGCAATGCCGAATCTAAACTCCACCGCATGTGCAGGAGTGATGTAATCCCCACCCAGCCAATGACAGCGGCTGGCCATCAAGACTTGGAATCCGGCTACCTGAAGATGTCAGAGGCTGGTTTGGGAGATCCAGGATTCCAAGATGAGTATAGTTCTGCTTTAAAGCTGAACTCCAGGTATGACCCTAACTGCATAATTGCAACAGTCTAGCTCTGATCAATGTAAGTATGAATATTTCACACCTGAGGGATTGCTATGGAAGTTGCATATCACTGTAGTAGTTGGCACCACTAAAGTGATCGACACAATCTTCTGGGTCCTGTGCAGCTACCCCACTGCATACTGACCACAGGAGGTCATTTGCTTGGTATTGCCACCATTCACAGAACACCGTAATTTTTTAAAAATACATACAATCCATTCTCTGATTGGACAAGGGGGAGGGAAGGGGCAGTGATGTTATGATCTGCAATCAGACAATTCCTTGTATCCATTGAAAAACAATACAAGATGTTATGTAAATGGCCATGTTGCCAAACAAGTGATTCCCTGTGGTCAGCATGCAACGGGGAAGGCACAGGACCTGGGAGATTGTGGCAATAAAAGTAGTACCACTGAATACTACAGTCATTTTCAGCTTCTATAGTGGCTCATCAGGTATACGATTTGCATACTTACATTAGTCCAAGCCGGACAAATGTACTGTAAATATCCAATTTTAGTAGATCTAGGAATAGTTCTAGTTCTTAGGAATGATAGGGTGTTAGGGAACTTATTACCTGAAAAACCATCAGTCATCTTTAGAGGGGCCCCTTCCCTGAAGGACAAAATAGCTCCCAATATAATAGACCCTCCAATCAGAACAACTTTTTTTTTAATTGAAAGGATTTTTTTTCCATGTACAAAATGTGACCCAAATACAAGGCAGGAAAGTCACTTCCTTTCAGTCTCAGGGTATCTCTAAGGTTTATGCCATAAAGTAGTTTATTATATATTCCTCCAGTAATGTGGTCTACATACTGCAGTGCCCATGTGGCCTGCAGTATGTTGGCAGAGCTACACATTCCCTAAGTGTGAGATTGTGTGAACACTTGTGTAACATTTAAGGGACACAGTGTCCCTAAACATTATGCTTTACATCAAGACCCAGCAGGTACACTCTTCAATGGTATAGATAATTATAATCCTCACTGGAGAGGTAGTTCTATAAGGAACTTGAGACCAAATGAATTTATGAGCTAATCCTGGGTTAACACTATGAATCGCCTATGTACAGCACATTCCTGTGCAATTCACACGTGATTTACATTTATATTGAAAGGGCTCAAATCGCACTGCATCGCACCAATGTAGTGCATGCACTACTTTGAGGAATGCACTGCAACTGGATCACATGGCAGTTTTTTACCATGGGATCCAGTGCAGGCAAATGAACTGTGCTTGTGACTTACATTTGGGGTGTCATTAAGATTGCAAGGACAGTGCGATTTGAATGAGGTGCAGGAAAGTGCACAAATTGTGGATTTCCCACACTGCTTTCTAGTGTGCACCGGGGCTTAAGCCAACACACATTTTAGTGCCTCAAATGTTAGACCTGTTCCTGGGTAAATTTGACCTGCTGATTCCAAAAAATAGCAATTTTTCCCTAACAGCTCTAGTTTTTCAGATGTAGCATAAAGGCCATATACCACTCTTCACTCTAGTCGCCTGTCAAAAATCAGATTATTTTAATGTAGTGTTTTATTTATTCTCCTTCTGGCATGAAAGAAACAAATAAAAAAATAACCCTAACCTCCCCTATACAATCCAATGTTTCTGATATAAAATTACAGTTGGAAGTACTTAAACACTTTCTCTACATCTGCTAAATTGTACACAAAAACGCAAACTAGGTAACAGAAGAACAATGTTGATCAGCAAGATCTTTTCAAAAAGTGACTAAAAAATCATATAGGATTACAACCGTATCATAGAAATTACAGTTGATGCAGTATAGCCAATGCAATTTTTTGAATCAGCGTCTCAAATAACCCCAAGATTAGATCTAAAAGGCAAGGCACCAAGAAAAAATTATTTTTTTTGTTGGGCTGTGTAATTGTTGAATCCTCCTTTTTCTGGATAAGTTTCTTGTAGCATTTTAAAATAATATATGTCCTTTATTCTGTATTATTTGTATATGATTTTGTGGGACACATAGGGCTGACACCATTCTATTTATCTTTTGACCACATGTACACCCCATGAACTACGGAGGGTGTCAATTTTTATTTAATTATTAGACAGCCATTATCTATTTTGACCACAAGATGGAGCATTAAGTGACATTAGTGGTTATGTTCAATCTATCACATATATGGCAGGGCATATGTATATATGTTTACATTTTATATTGAGAACTTTTTATTTATCTATATATCATTTAGGGAAACTTCAACAACATGGCACCCCAATGGTTTGACATTTGGGAATCCAAAAATATGGTGGCTGGACATCCGGTGCACTTATATTCTTATTTTCCCTATACCTTTCCCCTTTATTTTTGTGTTTTTTGCTTTTTGAAGGAAGTCCCGAGGCCAGTGATAAATGTATAATGTGAGTAGTCAATACTTTTGGTTTAATTATTAGTTTTACCTTCTTGCACTACAGATCTTCAGCTACAGCTTCCTCTTCAGCAAGGAGAACCATGAGAAGCACAGGAATGACATTACCAAATCTCACTCCAAATCTGGTGTGACTTGCAGTCAGAGACAGCAGTTCCTTAGATCTCACACTGTTGATATACGACTATGAGGCGACAGAACAGGAGTGCCTAATCACAAGCATTTCTATACTATTTTTCAAAAGTAATACAAGATAAAAAGGTATATTTTCAGTTTACTGCTCAGGGACATCTTTTGAATTCAGGTCTACCTCAGTTTCTTTCCTTTTATTTCTTAAATCTGCAAGGAACTGATGTATGAATAACTTCTTTTTTTAAGGGAAACAAAAACCCAAGTGACAGTTTGCAATGACAATTAACTCCGTATATCATATTTCTTCCTGAGGTGTAGAAGTGTCAATCCTGGCATAATGCGCTAAACAAAAGGGTCGACACAGTAGGGATCATATTCAGGTGTTACACTTGTCACACAGAAGACATGCATCAGACTGAAATTTTGACAGACTTTATGTTTGGGCGCTGTTCTATACCTTGCACTAGGCACGTGTCTGGCTTGGCATGCGGATCAGTAACACGGTCTCTTTCACACTAATGTTCCAAGAATGGAATAATCTAACACACAATGCCACCTGAATTGCTAGCTTTGCAATGTAATACGTTCTCAATGGCACGTGGCGCTATCGTGTGTGCTGTTATTTTAAGTTGTCATGTCCTCACAGCATCTCTGGACTTATATATATATATATATATTTATATATATATATATATATATATATATATATGATTTTCAGCATATTTTATGGGGGCATAAAAGATAATACAAAAATATAGTACAGACATTAAAGAATCCCAGAGTGGCAAAGGAAAAGAATCCAGGAGCAAACCAGAAACCAGGGGCGGACTGACAACTCATGGGGCCCCCAGGCAATAGGGGATCATGGGGCCCCTGTGTCCTTGCCCAAACTCAAAAAAAAAAGCCTATGAAAAAGGTACCAGGGGCATCTCATGGGGCCCCCTACTGACCCCGGGCCCTCGGGCAGTGCCCGAGTTTCCAAATGGTCAGTCCGCCCCTGCCAGAAACAATCATGTATCACAGGATATAGGCTGCTCACAGATACAAGATACAGTGGGCCAAATGGGTCTCGTATAGTGTAAGGTAAATAGGTGAGAAATATACTGTTACTCAGAAGGGCAAAGCCTTTTTTAAGGAAAAACTGGACCTGTGCATCTTATTTAAATGGTTAAATTGCATTTTGCCAAATTTGATCTGTAATGTTTACTATGTTTTCTAGCTTGTCCCAGCCATTTCTGGAGTTCTACATTTGTTAAAAATCAGTGGATTAGACAAGCTATGAAATGCCTTCAACATTACAGAACAAGTTGACACAGTTGAATGTCACTAACCACTATTCATTTTTGCAACGCTTTCAAGGGATAAACAGAAGAAATGATCAATATATTCCCAATATACACAATAATGGAGATGACCAGTTAACATAACAGCTGAACAGGAATGCTCTACAAGCAGTCTATTGACGTACCTTACAGGTTGTCTATATAGGAAAAGGGACACTGGTTATTTATATCAAATGTTTTAATCCAGAAGACATACCTTCCATTAGGTAGATCATAAATAACATCATGCATGTATGGATACCTGATGTTATCTTCAGCAAAAAAGATACTACAAAAATCAACTATATGCACTGGTGCCTTACTGTTCATATGGAGATGTAGGTCACACACAAACTTCCCATATACAATAATAGTGTCCAAGGGTACCTGCTGAAAGTTTTATATCGTATGATAATACTGCTGTTCTGGGGTTTGCTAATAGGAAGATCCTCTCCTGAGCATATACGTATTTTTTACCAATATACTGCACAAAAGTACTGAATTGTTAAAAGAAGAACTTTAGTAAGCTCCATTTTCATTTGAATAGGTTAAACAACATATTTCCAAAGCAACAGCCCAATACTTCCAAAAGCAAAAGTGGTTTATCAATGTTTTCACCCAAGAGTCATACAATTTTCACGCAAGATTCATACTTTTTCTAATTGAATGAGAAATAAATGAGAATCTTGGGTGAAAGTTGGGTGACTCTTACGTGAAGAAACTGATAAATAGACCCAAGTGTGTTAAAAGTGTACTGTATGTATGGCCAAACATTTAGGGAAAGATTTATACACCTATCAAGTTTTATTGTTGTTGGTTGTGTCCCTGAAGGGGATATTCACCCTCTCTATTTGTCTTGATGACCATTGTCACCGAGACAGAAAGCAGAAATTTAGACTTATCACAACAAGCAATGAGGGTAAATCTTTCAGTGGTGAAAGATTTATGTAGATAGTTTCTCTAACTTTCTGTTGTATCTTTGGGAATGGAAGGGAAGATAAATCTACCGAAATGGACGTATACAGCAAATATTAAAATGAAACTCTATTCTACCTAAGAAAAGAGTTTTCACTATACATACACTTTAAAACTGAAATCTGGGGAAATTAAGAAAAAACATTTACCCTTAAAGTGGGGATCCCTTTGCACTGCAAAGGTTAAATGCTTGTGTTCGCTTAGGGAAATATCAAAGATTACGTTTATCTTAGCACAGTACTTATGTAGCACTCAGTACACTGCTGATTTGCCCCAGGTTCTTTCCCCAAGTTGGTGTAGTGGCAACCAAGGACCCAGCAGTGGCGTCACTAGGGGGGGTGTCACCTTGTACAGTAAAATATGGGCTACCCCCTCCCTCATTCACAAGTGCAACCTTTTAGACCCTGGTAGTTCTGCAATTGGTACCACAGCTATAAGGTAGTTGGTTAGATAGTTCCTAATGGCCATTATATAGTGGTGGTAGCAAACAGTGCAGCAGTGGTACCTTCAGGTGTCCACTCACTCTGGGTTGCCCATAACGACTCCAGTAGGCACTTCAGCAAGGTCCCTATCCTGGCAGTGACTCGGCAACATAGTCCTCTCACTTTTGCAGTCTCCCCCACATGGTATTCGCTTGGTGGTTTTCCAGCAGCTCAGTCTCTGGGGGGGAACTGTACCACGTGTTATTCTCACTAACTCCCCCCAGAACACAGCACTGTCCTGGTGGCCCCCAGAAAATCTTTCTACCTCCTCCTTTAAAAGTAGTTCAGGCCCTATGGACTTCAGTGAACAGTCCACTCTTCGAGACTGCATGTCCCATCATGCCCCTCGAGTCTTTCTTCTGATTGCTTTGTTCTGCTTAGCTGGAGGGATAGGGAAGAGAGAGCAGCAATTACATGGCCTTCTGCTGAGAGGGGGAGGGGTGGGGCGAGCGGGTAGCAAGCAGACAGACAACCCGCAGCTGCTCCTCTCTCCAGTCATAGCACAGCCGACCCGAGATCCAATGCAGTGGCCCCCCCGCAGTGGTGGGAGGGTCAAGTGGGAGAGTGGGGAAAGAGTAGGGGGGAACATAGCGCTTGGTTACCACATTAAAGACTGTGGGTGTCACCCCTCTGGCGGGTGTCAACCAGGTGTGATCCTCACCCCCATAGCGATGCCACTGACACAGCAACAGTCACTCTTATTGGCTCAATGAACGGTCCAGGGAGTTTGTCTTTTTCAGATTTGTTGCTGAAGAGAATGGGATAGGGTGCAGGGGGCTGTGGAATACTTCAGCGCACAGCAATAGGAAGACAAGCTTCACTTTATCAAATCTTTTTAGTATAGTCCCACTAGTAGTAGCAAAGGGAATGAGCAGCACTTAGACATCATAAGAAATGTCCAAGCAAGCACTGACATTGGTGCACATGGGATAATAGCAGCAGTCACTAGAATCCTATACTCAGGTCTGTACTCACAATGTCCCTGGATATGTGGATGCCTCTTTCCAATGTCAGACACACATTTCTCCCATGAACTCTCCAAACCAGATCCTAAGTGAAATCCCATAATCATTTCCAGCAGAAGTCAGCAGAACAGCCCCCCAGCTCTAACATAGCTGGGATCTCGATGAACCCAAGTAGAATTACAGATGGACTGCTCAGAAGGGCAGTAGCCCTTAATGCTGGGAACTTTTCCTCCTGGACAAGAACAGGGCAGCCTCAGGCCTCAGACTATTTATGCACACCCCATCCACCTACTGGGCACCTTCTCGTAGGGATTGGCTGGTACCACTTAAATATTCAGGTGGTGAATTTGACTCTCTCAGCCCACTACATTCCAGAATCCTCTGGGATGTAGTCAAACCTGCAACCAGTGAAAGCCAGAACAGCCCAAACAATCGCTAGCTGCTCTACTGATTACAGAGGAGCCAAAAGAACTAATTTTACCTAATCTAACTAGCAACCTATCTAGGAGTGTGCTATACTTAGATTGAATGGTGGCTGCTCTGCTCATTAAAATCTTCATTCCTCGGCACCCCCTCCCCACAACAACTGCTATCTTCTGGTGCTGTGGGGGTTAATACCAGGCACTAGACACAGTTACAGATAATTCTCTAAAGTGCCGACTGTGCCCACCCTTTACGCATCTCTGTTCCATTCATAAAAGCTGTACTATCGCTTCCCACAATGGAAAGCGCTCTATGAATGGAGGAGGTGTACCTTTCATTCACCACTGACTAAAAGTAAAAAAAAAAACATCCGTAGGAGGGAAAACCTGAATATAATTTTTATCTCTCCTCTGGCTCTGTAGCAGGACATCATCATCTTGTTGTTGAGAACCTGGGGAATGGTAAGTACTCTAAATCTCTCAAAAACATGCAATAGCACAGTGGTGGCAGCATCTTCGTAGCAAGATCTGAACTACTCTGCTCCAGATTTTGCAGTAGTAGAATGATGTCACCCATGCCTAGGCATCATGAGCAGAACCTGGGGAAAAGATGATTATATTACCTAACTGTCACTTCCCTACAGAAGCTTTTTTTTTTTTTTTACTTTTTTTCATCAAAGCAAAGGGAGGGCCCACTTAAAAAGCTGACTTTGTTTTTTAGGTGCAAGGTCTGTTTCAAAATGTTTTGTATATTTATAAATTATTTAAAAAAAGGATATAATTATTTTTCCTTCCCTGGACTTCTGGTATCTTTAGGTAAGCTCATACCCCAGTGTAGCAACACCTAGAGGAAGGGGCTCTGATTGGTAAACTATGAATGATGATGTGTTGATTGTTGTTGTTTCATCAAGTGGCATTGAGAACAACGTGCCTGGTGCAGCTTCATACAGTTCCCAGGATCATTATACCTATTCATCATGCATGTCAGTTTAGCACAAGTCATTTGTCAGGATTATGCTAATGTCTGAATTCTTGTCTAATGTCTAAATTCTTTGCTGAGCTCCCAGACATGTTTCCTCACCTGAGATGATAGAGGTTAATTCAATGACATGACTCAGTAATGCCTGCAGTCAAATGCTTGGGGGTGAGTGGGTTGTATGTTTTTTTGCCATGTGATTTACATGTGTCTCTAAAGGAGATTGTCAGTTGGATAGCCAGTAGTAGTTAGTACATTCAGCTGGACTTAGTCTGTAAAGTTAAAGATGTTTTGCAGCTTATTCAAGCCTCGTCTTTCGCTCCAGTGCAGGGGCGGACTGACCATTTGGAAAATCGGGCACTGCCCGAGGGCCCGGGGTCAGTAGGGGGCCCCATGAGATGCCCCTGGTATCTTTTTCATAGGCTTTTTTTGAGTTTGGGCAAGGACAAAGGGGCCCCATGATCCCCTATTGCCCGGGGGCCCCATGAGTTGTCAGTCCGCCCCTGCTCCAGTGAGTTTTTGGAGCACACCACAGTATTTACATCTAGTTAGGATCTAATTCACCAGTTACTGTATATAATCCCAACTATGCGTGTATAATCTTGTGGGGGGGGTGATCTATTGCTGCTTGGGAGGTCCATTGTTGCTTATGATGGATCTATTGTTGCTGGGGGGGTCATTTAATACTGGTAGGGATCTACTGTTGCAGGAAGGATCTACGCTGCTGGCTGCTGGAGGGTTTATTGATGCTGGCTGCTGGGAGATCTATTGTTCTTGGAAGGAGTCTTTAGTTTCTGGGGTGTATCTATTGTTGTTGTGGGTATTTTGTTGCTGAGAGTCTATTTTTGCTCAGGCAGTAGGAGGGGGGCTATTGTTGCTGGGGGGC